TTATGACTGACTATGGAAAATTCGGACCATCTTCAACACTCGCAATGACGCATATGAAAAATATTATAACCCTTCCGAACATTTGGCCATAGACGAGATAATTGTTAAATTCAAAGGGAGGGTGGTTTTTAGGCAGTATATTCCTAAGAAACACAAACGTTTCGGAATCAAAATCTTCAAACTTGTGATGCCGCTGGGTATACTTTTGACATGAAGGTTTATCTTCGAAAAGACAGGACACGTGCCGACCAAGACATGACAGCGACACATGCTACAGTTAGGGACCTATGCAGACGTATTGAGGGCGTAGGTCACAAACTGTACGTGGACAATTTCTTTTCGTCACCAGAGTTGTTTGAGGAACTGATGACAAAGGACATAATGTGCTGTGGGACAGTCAGACCTAATTGGAAGGGCTTGCCTGACGATTTTCGACGAAGACAATTTCGACTGAAGAAAGGTGACATTCGAGTTAGGGTGAGATGGAACTTGACAGCACTAGTTTGGAAGGACAAACATGACGTTTACATACTGACAAACATGCACTGTCCTCCAGCAGAAGGCAGTTTCTGTGATGAGCATGGAAATGCCATCAAGCCAGCAATTGTTGCTGACTACAACACGCACATGGGTTATGTCGACAATGCGGACAGAATGGCAAACAGTTATAGCATCAGTCGTCGGACCTGGAAATGGACAAATAAACTATTTTTTCATTTCCTGGATATGACGATTCTGAACAGTTTCATCCTGTTGTCATCTGTCGTGTGAAATTGTCACACAGAGAATTTCATCTTGCCCTTGTGCGCAACATGCTGGAACATGCTGCAAGGGGTCCACCTCGCCCTCAATGGTCCATGGGTCGACCTCCTGCTGTGTCATCGGCGATATCTCGATTAGAGGAGGCCTCTCGACATCACTGGCCGACTTCCTCTACTTTGAGATTGAGATGTCGTGTGTGCTCTTCGCATAGGAAATGAAGTTACATCCGGACAAAATGTGTGAAGTGTGACTTTGGACTATGCATTTCCGGATGTTTCCAACAGTTCCACACAAAGGCAACATTCAATTAGATGATGCAGGAGGGGAGACAGACTACTTATAAAGCTGGTGTTCAAAAATAATATAAGTAAAACAAGAATTTCTATCTTAAAATTAGATTTTAAAACACTGTGCGCACGCGTGGATTGCGAGTCACCATACGGTGTCTTTCGGCCACTCGGCTTTACTTTAAAGGTCCCCATATGGTGTCTTTCGGCTCTTAAAGGTTAACTGTATCGTGTATGATGCTGGTTTATTATTTTCTTCTGTTTATTGTCAGTAATAGTTACCTTCTATTCTGAGTTTAAAACGGCCATAACTCCGTAACCGTCCAAAATCGGACACATGTTTATATGGACTTTTTTTATCACAAAGACCTAGGAAATCACCTCCTGCAGTTGTGTTCTAAAGTCGTGAAACACCCTGTATAGTACTTCTTATTAGTTACAATTCTTGATACATTCAATTTCCTAAATTACTGAACAGGCGTGAAATGTGGCACAGAAATGAAATTTACATTGCTTTTGAACAGTCTGAAGGAATTTGACACTTTTTTGTGTAATGGTGACTGCATTGAAGCATTGTGTAGGGCTGTGTTTAGCTCACTGGTGAATTGAATTGTGTATATTTTACAGTTTCCCCACATGAGCTTTTATGAGGATGTATGAGATGCATACTTATCTGTTCATCCATTCATCAATCCATCTACCTACCCACTCATCACTCTCTCTCTCTCTGTCTGTATATATACACACCCACACACACACACACACACACACACACACACAGGGGGGGTCCAAAAAATGTACTCACTCTTTGATAGTCAATATCTTTGGAACAAAATCACATGTAGTTACGATTCTTGTGCAGTAGTGTAGTGTAATGTTTTCTCAACAGATGGTGAAGGTCACATGAGTCACATGAGTGTCATGCCACATGCATGCTGCGAGCAGAAAACAGTAGCAACAATGGCTGAACACGTTGAACAATTGTCTGTATTCAGGATAATTTTGAAGCTGACAGTACTGTTCATGATATGCATAAGCCAAGATATTGGCAACCACGAATAGTAACAAGTTCAGCTTCCAGTGCTGTGGTGTTGCAACACTTTACACGATCACTGCAAAAATCTGGAATCAGTGTGCACGCGAAAGTGGGGTAAGCCGATCAAGTGTACGGCGAATTCTGAAGGCTGCAAAGTGGAAAGTGTGCATTCCAAGACTGCGCCACACTATGAACAAGGACGACCCGGATCAAAGGCTTGAATACTGCAAGTGGTTTGAAGGCATGGTTCGTGAGGATGAGGAGTTTGCAGGGAAAGTTATCTGGTCTGACGAGGCACAGTTCAAAATGAACAGTACTCCTAACTGCCACAATTGTGTGTATTGGGCTCCTTTAATCCACTGTTCACGTAGGCAAAGAAGTGAATCTACCGGGCGTTAGTGTGTGGTGTGGTCTGTCATTGCGAGGTTTGATTGGTCCTTTCTTCTTTGAAGGTACCGTAACTGGTCAGGTGTATCTTTATATGCTTGAGACATCGAATTTCCCTCCCATTTGAGAGCTGTTTGGAGATGAGAGATTTTACCTACAACAGGATGGTGCTCCACCTCACTACCATTGAGATGTCAGGGCGTACTTGGATCACACTACCTGGATGATGGATAGGTCGAAGAGGTGCTATTGAGTACCCACCATGGTCTCCCAACCTAACACCTCTCGACTTCTACCTATGGGGAACCTTGAAGGATGAAGTTTATTGACAAAAGCCAGCTACACTGAACGCACTATGAGAAACCATCGAATCGTCATATGCGGCCATCACACCAGACACACTGACAGCCGTAGTTCGCTCAGCAGTTCAGCGGCATCGAGGCTGTTTAGCTGCTGATGGTGGTCACTTCGAACACACAATGACTACTCTCTCTGTGTAAGAATTGTAACTACATATTATTTTGTTCCAAAGATACTGACTATCAAAGAGTGAGTACATTTTTTTGACCCCTCTGTATCTACGTAGGCGAGTCAAATGAAAACCTTAAATATTTTTTTGAGTATTATTTATTGTGCACAAGTGGTACAAAGCTGTATTGCTTTTCAACATAATCTCCCCCACGCTTACTGCAAGTCCTCCAGCACTTACCAAGTGCGTGAATTCCTTTAGAAAAAAATGTTTTGGTAGTCCGTGCAACCACTCATGCACCACATGGTGTACCTCTTCATCAGAACGGAACGTCTTTCCTCTCATTGCTTCTTTGAGTGGTCCAAACATATGGAAATCACTTGGGGCAAGGTCTGATGAGTATGCAGATGAGGAAGACACTGAAAATGCAGG